TGCTAATGCTACAATGCTTGATATTGATTTTGGTATATTCAAAAAAAATTCATTCTTAACAATAGGATCGATGAATTGTTTTTTATATTTAGGTACATATCCATATGTAACTTCATCAAATTGTAGTATTGGTGGTGCATGTACAGGTCTTGGTTTACCACCAAAATATATCGGAGATATTTATGGTGTTGTGAAAGCTTATACAACACGTGTTGGTGATGGTGTATTTCCAACTGAACTTAAAAATGAAATTGGTGAACATTTACAAACACGTGGTCGTGAATGGGGTGTAACAACAGGTCGACGACGTCGTTGTGGTTGGCTTGATCTAGTTTTACTTAAATATACAAATATGATTAATGGATTTACAGCATTATGTTTAACAAAACTTGATACACTTGATGAATTAGCTGAAATCAAAATTGCAACAACCTATAAACGAAATGGTGTTGAAATACCAAATTTTCCTGCATCGGTTGATACAATGCATGATATTGAAGTTGAATATGTTACTTTTCCTGGTTGGCGAGGACGATCAACAGAAGAATGTCGAACATTCAAATCACTTCCTAATAATGCAAAACTTTATGTTCAATTTATTGAACAATATCTTGGCGTACCTGTGAAATGGATTGGTGTTGGTAAAGATCGTATGGCAATGATTCGCGTCTTTTAAAAATCTCATATGTCTTCTCACGATTGATAAATACAACGAACAAAACTGATGACATTGATAATCATTTATTTAAGCATTTTTTTCCTTTAAGTTTGTGAACCTTTTTTCTTTGTCACGGATCGATAAAATACAGTATATTTAGATATTCATTTATCTCATGATTTGCAGTGGTTTGCCATTTTTTTTTCCTCACTATCTTTCACTTTTTTCCGTGATAAATTACTTGACATTTTTCTTTATATTAATAAATATATACACTTAAGTGTATTTGATGGATAAACTGGACTAGATATTATTCGTTATTAAGATATTTTATTTGTCTGATAGAAAATATACATGTACAATAGTCATGCCAATTATATATCATTTTATATTATTGACATAATCATAATCAAAACGTTAGTTATAGTTGCTATCACGATTTTGTCATTGACAGCGACATCGTTTTTTTTATTTTTCTCCCCAACATGTTTTTACATTATCATTTAAAATATATGATACATAACAAATATCTACTTATGCAAGAAAAAGAAAAAATAACAGTACACTACATATTACAATAATACTATCCTAGTTTTTGAAAACAACTGGTGTCCAGGAGACAAACAAGGTGTCACGTACGCTCCCTGTATTTGAAAGTTTTGGTTTTTAGAACACAAATCTTTGGTATGATATCATGTCTTCAGTATGCAATGTTACTGATATCTGATTACTTTTGTCGATGTTTCCGTTAAAAAGTTAAGTATATTTTTGAATTTATAACAAATCCAATTTCTCGTTGACTTCGATGCAGTCGTTTGTTACTGTTTCTCAAGGGCAAATTCTGTACTATCTTATAAAGTATGTTCATTCGATTTTGAAAAAAAATGAATAAAAACAAATATTGTTCAATCTGTGTTCATTACAACCAAGAATACAACATTCATATCGATTATAAACCATTTTATATCGCTAAAACAATCTTTATAAAAACCTTGTGTACCGTTGTTATGTTTATTCTGTGATTCTATGGTTGGCATCATTCTTTTCCTTTTTCTTCTTTCATTAAGTAATTGCAATATCATGTGAAAACTATGGCAACAAAAAACACCTGCTCTTTCACTCGGAAGAAAAAATAATAACACATCATATAAATGAACGTATAAAACTACGCAACACACGTCTCATCAACAGTCTACAATGGCAAATCAAACCACTGCTACCTTTTTAACGTTACCCGTAGAACTTGTCTACCGAATTCTGGATCATCAATCGGATCTTACAGTTATATGTTCAATGAGAAACGTGTGTCAACGATTCAATGACATCATAGATAGTTATGACTGGTATAAGGTAAATTTTTTCGGATCACCACAGTCCAATCTTTGTCTATTGACCCTCTAATTATTTTTTACGCCTACAATCTCAATTTAAATAGAACAACTCCAACAAAATATATATAAATAAACGATTTGTCACTCAAAATAATTCACACCAGTTATCACTCTCCCCAAAAATTAATTTTTTCTATTTTGATGAAATGAAAATAATACCCTTTTTACTTTCTCTTTAATTTTATCTAAATATTCCATGTTTCAAGCCAGATAAAATGTCATGAACATACAGTGTTTACATATGAAAGAAAGAAAGAAAGAAAGAAAAAGGGACAAAACGTTGTTGTTTATTGTTACGAGTATCTAAACACGTCTTTTTAGATACTACTTCGGTAATAAAAATCAGATTTTGAAAGAAATGAACGGTGTATAAACAATTTTATTTTGTGATAAATAACGGCCAAGAAATATCTTCTCTTAATTCTACTTTGAGACCATAGGTGACTGTAGGTATAGATGACAGCGAATGTGGATGGAAAGACGATTGATCTATAACAATATCCACATTTTCATCCAAACATATTACCTATACTCATATCATCAACGTGGAATATTGATTCAAGACACATTAATTCTTACGCAAATGTTTTTCCATAGTTTTTGTTTTGAAATACATTTAACTGAAGTCTACTTTCCCAAGGACACAGTTTCGAGGATAATTCATTACCAGATACAAAACTTGACAGGCATTAACAAAGTATTTCTTCTGCAAAACAGCTCAGCAATTATTCGTCCTCAACTGATAACGAATCTAATATTATGCAATAAAATTTTAAGATTCGTCACTTTTGATAACTCAATGTTGTTTCATAAGTTCAACTGTATGGTACTGATCAAAAGCAACAATAAAAGTCAATAAACATTTCCATCTATATAATTCATCCGCATCAATAAAGCTCAGTTAGATAACTCACATGAAATTCTAATGCCAAACACACATTCAGTCTCACCAACGAATATTTAAGAAACTCGTCAATCTACCATTCACAAAAAAACTATTTTTAGTCTTACCTAAAGAATACTAGCAAACGATGAACCATGGTTTATTACCCTCTAAACCATTAACTGGAATACATTGTGCTCTTGGCTCATATCCGACGTTTCACCATTACTTTTAGCACACGCAATTTTCCAACTATTACTTACTTACCAGACATTTTTTTTTTCTTTTACAAACGTCCAAGAATTGCCCAACTCATATATAAAAAACTGCTATCCATGCATTATTTTTAACAGCTACTTTTCAACTCCAGCTTCTCACGAGACGACCTTCAGCACGGTAAATCAGCTAAAATTATAGAAGCATTCGGGCACATATCCTTCCGCTCTTCAACCAGTCACACCACACTCAATACACTGATCTAACTTGAGCTAACGCTAAAGAACTATTCTGCCCTTTTATATATGCCATGTCTTTACCTGCACTTTTTCATCTAGACACTCACCACACTATATCTCAATACCAATCAAATCGGAGATGTTACAGCCCAACATTTGGCTCATGAATTACGGTACAACACAGTAATTCTCATTCTCTCTTTATCTATATAAGGTCTTTATCTGCAATTTATCATCTAGACACTAACCGATCTTTCCCTCGCAAGTACTGAAATAGGAGATGTTGGAGCCCAACATTTGGCTGTTGCATTACAACACAACAAAGTACTTATCACTCTCCCTCCATCTGTACCATGTTTTTACCTGCACTGTTCTATATAGACACTCACAATACTAAACCTCCAATATAATAAAATCGAAGAAATTGGAGCTCACCATTTGGCTGATGGATTACAACACAACACAGTAATTCTCATTCTCTCTTCATCTGTACTATATATTTACCTGTGCTTTTCCATTTAGACACTAACCATACTAAGTCTTTTTCGGAATCAAATCGGATATGTTGGAGCAAAACATTTCGCCGATGCGTTACATCACAACATAGTAATTCCTATTCTCTGTTTATCTGTACCATATCGTTACTTGTACTGTTTCATCTAGGCACTAACCACACTAGATATCGGAGGTAATACAATCGGAGATGTTGGAGCCCAATATTTGGCCGATGGATTACGATATAACAGAGTAATTCTCATTCTCTCATCGTGTATACTATGGCTTTCCTTGCATTTTTTCACCTAGACACTCACCACACTAGATGTCGGAAGTTATAAAATCGGAGATGTTGGAGCCCAACATTTGGCTGATGCATTACAACACAACAAAGTGATTCTCATTCTCTCTTCACCTATATCATGTCTTTCCTTGTATTTTTTCATCTAGACACTAACCAAACTAGACCTCACAACGAATCGAATCGAAGTAGATGGAGCAAAACATTTTGCTAATGGATTACAACACAACACAGTAATTATCATTCTCTCCTCAACTTATTATGTCTTTACTTGTACTGCTTCATCTAGACACTCACCACACTAGATCTCGGAGCGAATCAAATCGGAGAAGTTGGAGCCGAGCATTTGGCGAATGGATTACAACACAACACAGTAATTATCATTCTCTCTTCAACTATATCTTGTCTTTACGTGCACTTTTTCATCCAGGCACTCACCGCATTATACCTTCAAAAGAATGGAATCGGAGATATTGGAGCAAAACATTTGGCGGATGCATTACAACACAACAAAGTGATTCTCATTCTCTCTTCAACTATATCATGTCTTTACGTGCACTTTTTCATCTAGACACTCACCTCACTAGAACTCAATAGTAATAATATTGGAGATATTGGAACACAACATTTGGCTGATGCACTACAACACAACACAGTAATTCTGAATCTCTCTTCATCTTTATTATGGCTTTACCTACCCTTTTTCATCTAGACACTGACCGCACTATATCTTGGAAAAAATAGCATTAGAAACAATGCCCTACATGAGATTAATGAATATCTTGCACGTAATGCAAGAGCAACGAAATCATAAATGTGACTATAAGATATATCCTGATAGCGGATACATTGGTAGTGACGATTACGGGAATATTTTATTACAATGTATTTTTACAAACACGATAAATAAAAGTGCTTTTTTTCAACTCAATATGTATTTTGACTATAATGTTAACTTAGAGCTTTTGTTATTTGCTTAGGATGTTGATGCGCAAAGAAATAGAAAGAAGCACTTGGAAATATATTTTGTGACTGTGACAGATGTAAAAGCAGGCTGAGATTTTGTATTACAATAATGAAACTCTCAAGGGTTCTTTCCGATGAAGGTAAGGCGGAAAAAGTTTTGGCATGGCAATAGCAAAACCTTGAAGAATTCCTCCGCATGACATCGAGGAGTTAAAGGTTCTCTATGATAACCAATCCCTGAGAAGTTGTTTATACTAATATTGATAGAAAGGTTTCTGCCTGATGATACTGAACCAGAAAACGTGTTCCGTAATACGGCTGAACTGTAAAATGTGTAATATTGGATAATTTTCAGAGAAAAATAGATTCTATGCGATTGAGCTGAACTAACTAGATATAGATGTTCTAGTTTTGCAGCATTTCTTTTTTTTTGTGGTGTGGGTGTGTTTGCATATAGATTACTTCTGTATAGCCGTTCGATATATATCATGTGAAATTTGAAATAAAATGTATTTTTTACATCAACGAATGATATAAAATATATCTTGTATAGATGTGGGTGTATCATATCTATGGTAGCCGAATTTACATTCTATCAGTTCGATCTCGATATTTTTAAAAGAAAAACGATAGTGATGCTTTGCTTTGCATCGCATCAAATAATAGTTGAATATGTAATTTTGACGTAAAGAAGAACGTGAAGAAAAATTGAGAGAAGATACATAGTGATCTATGAATATTTAATATTATGAAATTTCATACCGATAGATATAAAAATGATAATATCATTCAACAAACTGAAAGCAATACATTCTAGAAAAAAAAAAGATTCTATCAATATAATTCAATTTGCCTTTTTAAGATTTCATGTATAATAGTAATCTCGATTATCACAGAAAAACATGGTTGTTATTATTATTTTTAGCATTTAACTATGAAACATTTCTTTCTATTATCATAATTGGAATATATTATTTGTTATTTATGCTTCACATTTTTTCAAATAACACGAGAACAAATACATGAAAATTTGATTTATTCATAGATCGAAGTGCAACTTATAGACATGTACTTTATAATGTCTTTCGTTTTTTTCTTTCTCTATCACACATACAATAAAGAACATAAAAGAAAAAAGGTCTTATAATCTTTTTTATACAATGACAAATGTTGAATAGTAATAATGTTTCGAGACGAAATACACATATAATCATAAATAATCTCATGAAAAAGGAATATGATAATAAATAATCCGTTAAAATTCAACCATCAGTAAGTCTCCAAAACAAAACTATGAAAATGCAATTATATACAATAATGATGTTCTTACAATTGTTTATCTTGATACAATAATGTGTTCTTTTAGATACGAATATTTATATGCATTTTTGATATCAAGATAAACCAGAAGACTTCTATTGATGTAGTAAAAATACAACAGACATAGATTTCTTTCTTACATACAACATGTCACAGGTGTAGTGAAAAGATATACTTCATCAATAAAGTATACTAAAAAATAGATGTATTTCATTTTCATATTTAGAATAATCGAATAACACCTATTGTATCACCATCTTCTTCTCTAGCTGACACTGATTCTCTTCATCATCGTCATGCTCATTCTCCTACTACTGAACATCGACGTGTATCAATTGCATCAATTACACATCCAGATCCATTAGGTCCTATCACACCAACTGATGACGTTACGCTTAAACGACATCTTGGTTTATTCTCTGGAGTTTGTTTTATTATTGGTACCATCATTGGTAATTGTTTAAAAATTCATGTTTTTTTCCTACAATTCTAACTATAATTATTTAAAAATAAATAGGTTCTGGTATATTTGTTTCACCAAAAGGTGTTTTACGAGAAACACAATCAGTTGGATTATGTTTAATTATTTGGATGGCTTGCGGATTAGTATCTTTACTTGGTATATTATATATATTTTTTCATGTATATGTTTAACATGCCGTTTAATGCTCATTTCAGGAGCACTCTGTTATGCAGAAATTGGCACAATAATACCCAGAAATGGTGCAGAAGTAGCTTATTTAAAAGAAGGTATATTTTACAAAACAGACAGTATACTGTTCTTTAAAATTCTATCAATATAAATATATTTATATGTAGGTATTGGTTCTGTTCATGCAAGAACAGGTGATGTTTTAGCTTACCTTTTCAGTTGGTCAGTTACATTTGTTATGAAACCATCAAGTATTGCTGTCTTATCTCTGACTTTTTCCCAATATTTCTTATCTGGTGTGATGGATGGTAAACTAACTTTTATTGATTATCATTTATATTGCATAGTTCTATATATATATATATATATTTAGATTGTGGACCACCCGAAGAACTTGTCAAAATGCTGGCAATTTTTGCTATTCGTATGCTTATTTTTTATATTTTATAATATTATTATCATATTATCTAATTGCAGTGATGCTAATCAATATTAATTCTATTAGTGTATCTGCAGCTAATCGTCTCAATATTATCTTTGTCATTTGTAAAGTTTCAACAGTTGCAATAGTAATTATTGCTGGTCTTGTACGAATTGGACAAGGTTTTTGTTTATTGTTTTTAATGATGAATCAATTAATACTATTTATGATTATGATTTTTACTAGGGCATACACAGAATTTACAAAATGGTTTTGTTGGTATGTTCTTGCTGTTGATGATAATGATGATGAGAGAGAAATAAAAAAAGTATTTTTGTATTGTAATAGGTACGACAAACAAACCGTTGGGTGTTGCACTTGCATTTTATTCTGGTCTTTGGGCATACGACGGATGGAATAGTCTCAATTCTGTTACAGAAGAACTAAAAAATCCCAAAAGGTATGCTATTTTTATGTGTGATAACAATGAATTTAATGTCTAATAAATAACTGAACATGATTGCTTGTTCATTTTCGACTTAATTATTAACTAGATATTGTTGATATATTGTATTTCATAGAAATCTATGGTTATCCATCGTATTAGCTTTACCTTCTGTTATGATTCTTTATTTACTTACGAATATTTCTTACTTTACTGTAATGAACAAAGCCGCATTACTTAGTTCTAATGCTGTTGCTGTCGTATGTAAAAATAAACTTTTGTATATTTAATCTAGCAATTCTATATAGACCTGGGGTGAAGCTGTGTTAGGTCCTGCTGTTCGTATTTTACCTATTCTAATTTCCATTAGTGCATTGGGTAGTGCTAATGGAAGTCTTTTTGGAGCTGCTCGATATTGTATGGTTAGTGCTCAGTATGGATATTTACCAGAAGTATTTGCATGTATTCATGCACGAAGATTAACTCCAGTATCTGGAGTTGTTTTGCAGGTTATATTATCTACTTAATTATCCATCAATAATAATCTAATGGTTTTTCTTTTTTTTTTAAGGGTACAATTGCAATTGCCTTCTGTCTTCCAAGTAATGTTGATGGTTTAATAGATTTTTTCAGTTTTGTTGCATGGATGTTTTATGCATTAACATTTACTGCCACACTTTGTTGTAAATTTACAAAAAAAAGTGCTGATCGTGTTATTAGTGTAAATCATTATTCACCAATAATTGTAAAAAATAAACAATGGGAATCGTTTTTTATTTAGGTTCCTATTCCATTACTTGTAATTATAATTCTGATTTCGATTTATTTGGTTATTGCGCCTTTAATATCATCTCCAAGTATTGGATTTCTTGTTGCAGGTATTTTAATTTTATTTGGTTTAGTATTTTATTATCCATTTGTCTATCGTAAAATCGAATTACAATTTATAAGTAAGATAGACATATTTTGATTTATAGAGATATTTATTTTATTCTTTTTTTCTTAGAAAAAACCAATAACTTTTTGATAACATTTTTTGGATTACAGCGAGCACAAGTAAAAATTTAATAATACAATATACAATTATTAAAAGATACTTAATAATTTATTTTATGTAAACTTTTTTCTTCATTACTGCAGTTTCAGAATATAAAATAGAATCCGGTCGATAAAGACAGTTTTTATGACTAAATTAGAATAAAGACTGAAATATTTTCATCTTCCTCGAAACTTTACGATAAATAAGTCTATGTCAAGGAAGTTTTATTTTTAAATTTTTAAATGATATGTCATATTATGAAGTTAATGAGCACATTAATTAAGATATTTTAACAGAAAATAAAACTAAAATGTGCTGTAATCATATTCGATGTTGATCTTCTTGATATATCAAATTCAATTAATCGATCATGCTCACATCTTGTTGATCATATAACATCTAGTCCAGAGAGTTCACTGTATGTCAACTACTAGTAATTCTAATGATAATAAAGATGATTTATTAAAATGATGGTTTGATCATAAACGAGTGATTGGTTCAAATAGAAATCGTGCTGCATCATCATTATTCAATGTTCTACATCCCGTTATTCCGTTTAAAGGTTAAATATGATCACTATTATATTCTTCTTGAATCGATCGTTTATTTTTATTTAGGATGCATTGATCCATCGGAACCATTTCAATGTCCTGGAAGTCAACAATGTATTGCTCTCCAATTTATTTATGATGATCATCCAGGTGATTGTCCTAATAATCTTGATGAAAATGAAGAAACATGTATTGCAGCTAAACATCCAGCAAAGGAAAATATTGAAAAATTTCTTCATGCTGCGTATACATTACATGGTTCAAAATTATTTACATTTCTATTTGGCGAAAAAACTTTCGATAAGTATTGATGAAAATAGAATATTTTGGTTTGATACATTAGCATCAGCATTTTATGGTAAGATTTCTTTCTTATTTTTGCTAATGAAAGATACTTATTATTTTTTAGTGTCGAAAAATGTTCATAGTTTTGCTGAAAAAACATTTATGTCATCAGGTGATCTAGCACATTTTCGAAATATCTTTCAATTAATTTATGACGGTCAGATATTCCTTTGTTTGCACAAGAAGCTGTTAATCAAGGTCTTGCAGCCTTAGTTGAAAAGCTCTATGACTCGGGATTTATGGATTAATTAATAAAAATATAAAGAAAAGGATAAATTTTGGTCATATGATTTTTGGAAATTAATAAATAAATGTGAGCATTATGAACTTTTCATCATTTAGAATCATCAATATGTCATTTATAACAAATAAAATATTTGAACTATTGAAATTTTATTTTAATTCGGATGTGTAGAAAAATTCAATTGAATTATTAAAACATTTTCATTCTCAAACTAGATCAGTTTTTTATTTCAAAATCTTATATATCGTTCTTAAAACAAAAGTTCTTATAATAATATTACAGCTAAAACACTATATCAGAAATCCATTTAATTATTTTCATCATAATCAATATATTTTTTGTCTCTATTTTGTTTTCTTTCTTTTTGTTTCTTCTTGTCATATCTTATTCTTTGTAAATCTCGATGATTTACTTCTACATTGTAAGTTACTTTTAACAATTCAGCTAGTCGTTCAATAACAGCGACTGATCGATGTTGACCTTGTTCACATCCAACTGCTAATTTTATTGAATTTTTCTTTTGATTATGAATAAAAATTGATAGTTGTTCCGTAATCATTTTAATTATATCTTCATATTCCACTAAACTTAATGATTCATTTTGTATTCGTTTATGTCGTCCATCGTATTGCTAATAGTTTTCAGCATTAGTTGTTGGGAAATGACGTATTGAATACAATAAATCAATATTTTGCGGAACACCAAATGAAATTAATTCGATAGTAATATCTTCAGCTTCAACCATTAATACCAAATTATATTTTTATAACGTTAGAAATGAATTAAACCTCAATATACAAGGTTGATTTTATACCATGTTAAAAGAGGAAAAACAAAATTTCAGTAAGAATACAGTGTGGTCAGACGACAAACATGAGTCACGGTTCTGATGTTTTTGTCGTAATTACACGTGTTACAAAAATGACATACAATAAAATAGGTGGTTTTTATGGTTCTATACAGTACATTCTATCCTATAATAAACATTTCAGAAATTTGATAATCGATTATCATATCTATTAATACTCTTTAAAGATCACAAAAAAACCTGTTAACATCTTTGATAAATATTTTCACCTCGATATCGAAATTACGATTTCAAGGCTGTCACAGTTATCCTAAAATAGAGTTAAATTTATATAGTTTCGAAGTACAAGTGACACTGATTTATCTAGTTGATTCATTATCGATCATCAGCTGTAAAACGTTTGTTAGAAGAAAACAGATCTTAAATTTTGCTATTTCTTTCCTTTTTGATTATCCCAAAATGTCAAAAAATCAATAATGAACCTTGTACCGCATTTTTTTATTATAAAAAGAGTAGATAAAACTTGATTTGTTGATAAAAATTTATCTACTGTGCGTTTCTACCACTATATACTTATGTTTCACTTCATTTTCAGTCACTTCTATGACGAATATTGTAGAAAATGGTATACAAAGCAGTTCTCTTTTACCAGTTTTTTTCATTCGCCTGTAGTGACGGAATCACCTCCCTTGAGTTGTTGGAAATGTAACGACAAATTTCTGTGGATTTGCAGATAGTTTTAAATGAATTTTCTTCCATTTTATAGCCAGTTTCTACAAACTATCACTGAATGATATTTGTGACTCGATTGTTATCGATGCTTCACTATCTTCGTCATTATCAATATGGCTATCATTAGCAGCAATCATTTTTTCTGCTAAGTACAAATATTATAACTTATGATATTCTTAACCCACAACGATCAATAGACAGACGATTGTATACAATGAATTGAAAGATTTGGATGATGGGTAGAAAATACTTCAGAAAGAAAAATATATCGGTAAAGAACGGCCTCAGCAAGTGGCGTATATTCTCGCCGTCTTTATTAACTTATTAGAAATCCGAGATCGCCATCTTGTTAGTTTCATTATACATCACCAAGAACTCATCGGATATGTATGCAATAATGATTTATTAGAACTGAAATTGAGTTAAAAATGAAAAGCAGAAAAAAATTGAAAAAGCAGAAATGACAGAAAAACAGCAGAAGAGGTGGCGACCTTGTTCACAAAGTTTTGTTGAAATTCTTAATATAGAGTGAAGATAAATGTTAGTGTGTATTGTGTAATGTTTTATAAGAGTAATGTACTTAGTAGATTAGTAAAATATTAATGAATAAATAAAGGTTAGTAACCGATCAGTCTTAACAATGCAAGAGAACACTGACGGTGGCCGAACCCCCGTTTGCAACAACAATATCGAGTTTATTGTCGCTATTCACATCAACGACTGCTACTGACGCTGGATTAGTACCAACTGCGTAATTAGTTTGAGTTTTAAAGGTGCCATTGCCTGTGTTGAGAAGAACACCGACGGTGGCCGAACCCTCGTTTGCCACAATAATATCGGGTTTATTGTCGCTATTCACATCGACGACTGCTACTGCTTGAGGGTAACTACCAACTGGGTAAGTAGTTTGAGTATTAAAGGTGCCATTGCCTGCATTGAGAAGAACACCGACGTTGTTCGAACCCCAGTTAGCAACAACAATATCGGATTTATTGTCGCTATTCACATCGACGACTGCTACTGACAATGGGTTAGCACCAACTGCGTAAGTAGTTCGATTTTTAAAGGTACCGCTGCCTGCGTTGAGAAGAACACCGACGATACTCAAACCATTGTTTGCAACAACAATATCGGGTTTATTGTCACCATTCACATCGACGACTGCTACTGACAATGGGTTGATACCAACTGAGTAAATAGTTTGATTAAGAAACGTACTGCAGCCTATTAAATACAAAAAACTTGTTTTTACATCTGTACTAATATATAGACAGTATTCAATCGTCGTATTTTATTCAATCTTTGAGAGTTTAACTTAATTAAACACAATTTATACGAAAAGATTATGTCGCTGAATTTTGAACAATTTCAGATATTCTAGACCATAACTAAAGTCAGTTTTTAGCCATTCTGTCTACTTCTATGTGAAAGCTTCTCGTAAATTTGAAAAATCAATGAAGTCATCTCACTCTACTTAAAACTTGCGCTCCTTTTAATAAAGTCTCATAATGCCCTCGACTAAGAGGACTCAGAATGCTTTCCAAGTAGAATTCAAAATGCCATACATTTGTTCAGAAATTCATTTCAACATATATATCATTCCTTTTTTTAAATGCATTATGATATGGAATTTTATAAACAATATGCTGATTCTGTGTTACATAAACCAGCAATATTTCTACAAAATTCTAAATTTTACTTTTCAAGTATTTAACAATTACTTGTGCAGCACACCCTATTCTCGTTCTCGTCGAGGATAGCTCAATAAAAATAATTTATCTGTTTGCGTTCTTGCAGGTCTGTTTTTCAATGTCTGGCATAGGTATACACAGAGTTAATAGAGGAAGTACATCACAGTCTACTAGTGTTATACCATTAAACTAAACTAAGCATTATACGTTTTATTTTTTGTAAGTTATGTTCTCCAATACTTAATCTTCAAATGAAGGTACTTTTCAGATTCAATTACTGCTCTCTCGTGACTTTATACATGCAAAAAACGTCGGCGTCAGTACTGACTCTACTTTATTTCGGAATTCACAAAATTTCCAAGAAACAGCAATTGTATTCAAAAGTACGTCAGTGAGTAGAGTAAATATGGAAGAACACAAATCACAATCCATAAAACTTCTAGTACTTAGCCTGGTTTATTAGCACAACATCTAATAGACTACGATACAATTTCGATTTTGACTCGGTGCAGCCCCACACTGATTGATCGAAAACCAACCGGAAAGAAAAAATGAAGGACGCAGACGGACGCGACTAAATACTGGGCCGGCCAAGAGTGCCTAGAGGAAAGGCAACAACAACGAAGCTTAGTTCTTGCTGATAAAGTCCTCGTTATGCTACTATACTCCAGTGCTATTTGACTATTGACAGTTTTTTCTAAAAGAAGTAGTCGTCAGTGCTACGTCTGAATCAACTTCAGTATTTTTAATGTCGGCTCTCGCGGCGAAAGTCTGCACCAACAAGACAATGATCATAGTTTGTTATGCCTAGATATGATACTTCAATAAGAAACAAATGATATAATCTCTAGACGAGTATTATTTGTTCATCGAAGTGATAAACATTTGAACGGTAAAATCTCAAATGTTTTTGGTTAGTGGAACTAAGTATCGGTTTGACAGCTACAAAAAGATACAACACATTATCTACCACATTACTGACCGACTGTAGTTGCTGCTGGTGTTGTTGATGTTGTTGATGTTGTTGTTGATGTTGTTGTTGATGTTGTTGTTGATGTTGTTGTTGATGTTGTTGTTGATGTTGTGGATGATGTTGATGACGACGTTGTCGTTGATGATGATGTTGTTG